GATGTCAATTACTACCATATTCACAGCTGCACTTTTTATTCCAACTCTAGCTGCTAATTTGGTAAGTTCCGTCCTTAACTTCAAGCTTATATAAATAATGAACAATTTCCGAGATTCCCTATTACTAGAGGACCTATTTGTTAAAATTTTGAGCTTTTTTTTTTCGACAAAATCAAAGTATTTTCTCGTGGTATCTCTCATTCTCCGTTTTTATATTTTGGCCATAGAGCGTTTTATAAGACACCACGAAAATTTTATTTGTAGAAGGCTCAAAAAATATTCGACATTTGCTTTTTCCTTGTCCGAAGCTTTTGTTCCCAAAAAAAGTTAAAGAAAATATGAATCTTTTGTCATGTGAATGCTTTACGTTGTTTTCAAATAGATCAGAGGTTCTGATTAGAGCACTATTTGGCTATAGACAATGAAATTTGATTTTGGTGACTAAATTGTCTTCGAGTCATCAGAGTCTACGGACTTTTGCGCAAGCGAATAGCTCTTCTGCCATTTCAGTTCAGCTCTGGAATGTTCCTGGTGCGTATCTCATCGGAGCAACGGCACCGTTTACAATACTGCTTTACGGAATTACCGTATACTTTGCCAAAAAATCAAAAGAATAGATGTCTCAAGTCTGGTGAAGTTGCTATCGCTAAGAGAACTGAGAAAGTGATCGATTTGAGGCTTATGAATGTCACGACGGTAAGTTTGTGTAGTTTTTTGTTCAATTTTAACATGTCTGCAGACATGGACTGAAAACCATTGAAATCAAATTGTTTTAGGCTTACCTTACTCTTGAGTTCACTGTATCTGCAAATACAGAAGGTAATTGTTGCTGCTTTCATAGTATAGGCACCTCTCCAGCAAAAACACAATTTTTATGTTTCAGGACCAGCTAAACGCTTTGTAGAAAGAGTTATCATCGATGGAGCTCTGCCAGCCAGACGCATAGCAGTGACGAGCGGGCTGGTCATAGATTTCGTTACCATTTGCGACAGGTGAGTTCTCTCTCATTCCTCTCATAGTTTTGTTATTGCAGATAGGGCACTCCTTTTGATAGGCGCAAATAAAATTTATTCAAAATCACTACCGATGATTAGAAATATTTTTTTGCGTAATAAGAATACTAGGGAATAAGAATACTACGAAGAATAAATTATTGTTATTTTCCAAGATCTATCTGGATAAAATTGCTGTTTTTTTTTTGCAGTTTTATATCTCTCTCGACTGAACAATTGGTTAAGCTTTTTTA